ATAAAAATAGTAAATATAATAATAATAATATAATAATAATAATGAATGATAGTAAAATGATAAGATAATGATATTACTATACTAATGATAATTGATAATAATAAAAATAATAATAATAATAAGAACATAAGATCAACAATGATGTAATATGATAACACAACAAGAATAATGATAATGATATGATAGTTTATAGTTATAAGTATCATAAAAAACATTAGTAGTAAGCCATGGCAGTATAGATAATTGGATAATAATAGTAGTAATAATAATGATAATAACACTAAGAGCATAGTTGATAATAACAGCAACGATTATCATAATTGTAGTAGTGATGATAATGATTATGAGAACAACAATGATGATGACAGTGAGAAAATAGCAATGATAATGACAATAATAGCTATAATAACAATAATGATGATGATAATAATGATAATGATGATGATAATAATGATAATGAGGATAATAATAATAATTACAGTAATGGTAATGCTGCTGCTAATGGTGATGATGATAATAATTGTAATGATAATAATAATAATGATAATAATAATAATAATAATAATAATAATAATAATAATAATAATAGTAATAATAATAATGAGAATAATAATAATGATAATGATGATACTAATGATAATGATGATAATAGTAATAATTACTGTAATAGTAATGCTGCTGCTGCTGGTGATACTACTACTACTACTACTAATAATAATAATGATAATGATAATGATAATGATAATAATGATAATAATAATAATAATAATAATAATAATAATAATAATAATAATAATGATAATAAAGATAATGATATTATTATTATTGATACTAATTGTCATAATAGTAATAATAATGGAAACAATGTAATAATGATGATAATGATAATCATGATAGTGATGGGAATAATACTGAAATGATGATGATGATGATGATGATGGTGGTGGTGATAATAATAATAATAATAATAACAATAACAATAATGATAATGATAATAATAACAATAGTAATTATCTTTTTCTTTGCTTCTTCTTCATCTTATCATTATTATTATTGTTTTTATTATTTTTTTATTATTATCTTTATCATCATCATTATCGACATTATTATTATTATTATCGTTACCACTATGATTATTATTATTATCATTTCATTGTTTATCATTGTTCTTACTATTATCATAAAAATAATGATAATTATTATTATAATTATTATTATCATTATTATTATTATTATTATTATTATTATTATTATTATTATTACGCCATGATGACACTAATAACAATAATGATATTGACCATAATAAAAAAAACAATGACAATGATAATGATAATACTAATACTAATGATAATGATAATAATAATAATAATAATAATAATAATAATAATAATAATAATAATAATGATGATGATGATAATCATGCTAATAATAGCAATAATAATAATAACAAAAATAATAATAATGATATTATTAATAATAATAATAACAAAAATAATACTATGAATAGGAATATGAACAATGAACAATAATAATGATAATGATAATAATTATACAGATAATATGATAATAGTTATAATGATGGTAATAATAATAATAATAATAATAATAATAATAATAATAATAATAATAATAATAATGATGATAATGATAATAATAACAATTATTATAATAATAGTAATAATAACAATAATGATAACGATAATAATGATGATGATGATGATGATGATAATAACATCAATAATGATAATAATAATAATAACAATAACGCTAATAATAATAGCAGTACTAATACTACTACTACTAATGATGATAACAACAATGAGAATAACAATAATAAAGACAATAACTGAATTGAGAATAATAACAATAATAACAATATTGATAATAATGATGGTGCTAATGATAATGATGATATTAACAATAATTGTAATAACAATAATAATGATAATAATAATGGTAATAGAATAATGATGTTAACAATAATAATAACAATGATAAAATAATTACAATAGAAATAATGATAAAATAATTACAATAGAAATAATTATAATAATAACGATAATAATGATAATAATAACAGTAATAATGATAATAACGATAATAATAACGACATTGATAATAATAATAATAATAGTAATAGTAATAGTAATAGTAATAATAATAATAATAATAATAATAATGATAATAATAACAATGCTGATAATAATAATAATGCTGATAATAATAATAATAATAATGCTGATAATAATAATAATGACAATGATTACAATGATAATAATGATATTGGTTACGATTTTAATTATATTATCAGGAATAGTATAAAAACGAAAACAATTATAACAAATATTGATAGTGATTGTCCTGTCTTTTTCTCTTTGGCTAAAGCAGGGATTGCCCTTACACTCTGAAGAGCCAAGTAGCACCATTTAGTGGAAACCTCGTCCTCGTCACTCACAGGTTTATGTTGTTTTTATTGAGTGAATTTCTCTCTGACATCTTC